CGTTCGACCGAGAGAAGTCTACACGTAAGGAGGTTAAGGAGGATACGTTTGCAGCCGATCAAGATCTTGACCGTGATCCAAAGGCGTTTGATGAAAATGGCGGCAAATGCGAGTGCAACCTCACACCACCCGTGCTCCCGAGAATGTGCGCATTCATCATGTACCCTGGGATGAACGCATCAGACCCGTTGTTCAGACAGCTCTCTCCTAATCCGATGTTCTTTTGTCCCTTCAATTTCAAAAATGTAGATCAAATAATCTGCTGAAATAATCATTTAACGTTTCTTTAACTTTTGGTTTTTTCATTTACGTAGAATTTTTTTTTTTCAGAGGGTTCATCGTAAGTCCAATTTTTAGAGAGATTTGGAAGGTAGAACATGTTTTGATAAGCTTGAATTTTTACTTTAGTACAAAATACTATTATAACTATTAATTTTTTTTTAAAGAGTTATTTATGTCTCCGTTTGAAAATTGTGTTAATCTTGAGCCAATTGAGTGCGGCTTCGTTGTGTGCTAAAACATCAATTGGGAAAGTTCAGGTGCCCAGTTTTCAATATAGGTTCAACATTACTAAAAAATTCCAGTTAAGATTCAAACAGATCGGAACATTTTTAGAAATCGCGTTGGCAACTTTTTGTTTTAATAATGCACTTGCTCTCCAATAAAGTACGCAAAAAGAAATTTTTACCCCAGTAACATTTTCGGTGAATATACTGGAAATGAATAAGGATAAACCGCAGACAATTTTAAAAAGAAATATTGTTGTGTAGTTTTGTAAAAGAAAAATAAATGAAAATAAACACGATTGGATCTGGGTGTGCAAATTTTCTATGGGAAAAAATATGCTGCGAGTAGCCACATAGCCATGGATTTTTGACGCATCATTTAGGGAAGGCGTTTGTGAGACAACTATTCGACCACGGGTGACGCCCACATTGCCGCTGTCTGGAATTGAAGGCGCTTCACTCTGCGTCGCGCCGGTAAAACAATCTAATCGCGTTGTGCTGGCTTTCGCCCGGCGCTATCGCGTTGATTGTTCGACTCATGTTTTTTACCCGTTTTTATCATAATTTCGGGGGAAATATGTAACAGATTTGAAACGTTTCAACATCTTGCACCACGTTATATTTATTTTTCTTTATTTCATCTTTTATTTGTTTATTTTTATTTTTTTTTAAAAAAAAAAAAAGAAATTGATCACAATATTATCTCGAAATTTTCTGTGAATATGAATGAAGAGATGTAGGAAAATTCGTATGAGTACAATTTTAAGTATAACTGTTCGTAAATTTTAAAAAAAAAATTGAACTTAAATTATACATGAGTAGAGGTAGTCAACGTTGCAATCGAAGATAAATAGGCTTAATTTTCGCGTAGCCATGGATATACATACATGGGTGTGTGCCATTATTTAAGGAAGGCGTATTTGAGATAACTATATTCAACCGCGGATGATGTCTCTCTTTTCGCTGGCTGAAATTGAAGGCGCGTCACGCAGGGATGATGACACAATCACGCTGCGCTGGCTGAAACTGCGGGATAACGTAGTAAATCATTCTCGACTCCAGTGGGTTGAATTTTTCATTTTTAGGAATTTGGGCATTCCTGCGCTCTTTGGCAACGTGGCAGCATATTCAAGAGAGTAAAAATAAAAATATGACGTAATCTGCCATGAAAGCGAAGAGAGCAGTAAGTGTCAAATTTTCGGAATCGAGTTTCCTTCAAAAGTCGTCTAATCTCTAATAAATGAAATCACTGAAGTAGCGAAAGCAGCAAAATTCATCTTAATTATTTGAAAGCGAGACATGAGAAAGTCGTAAGTACGCAAAAATGACGTTTTTGACAAAATGACGAAGTTACGGATGAAGTTAATGATGAAGTTTGAAGTTACAGAACAGTCGTACGTGACATTCCTCCAGTGAGCCAATGAAAACAGTGCAGGTGATTCGTCAAGCTCAAAAGAAGTGGTCGAACTGGCATGCGATATATCGCATCTTTTAGGTAAAAAGTCTCGGCAGATTTTGAATTTTCAGCAAAAAAAAGGACGATAGCCGCCATCGATTTCTGTATCGAATGCGAGGTTTTTTCCAAACCCTATTCTGCTTTCATTTCTCTGAATTTTGCCGATTTTTGGGTTTAGAATGATTCTTTAGGCTCATGCTCAGGGGCTATCGCCCTTTTTTTTGCTAAAAATTCAAAATCTGCCGAGATTTTTTACCTAAGAGATGCGATACATCGCATGCCAGTTCGACCACGTCACTTGAGCTTGACGAATTACCTTAAGAAAAGTGCCGACCTCTTCTGTCAATTTCTAACCTGAAAATGTGTTCGTTCTAAGTATGTCCAAAACGCAACCATGAAAGTATGCAGAAGATAGCACTTACGGCTGTCTCACCTAACACTCGTCCAACATGAAAATGAATAATACCCTTTTTATGTAATTGAAATAAAGTCGGTCGATTTTCAATCGTCCAAACTATTTCTAAGAGTCCTCCGGATGGATTTTGGCAATTTGACGAAGAACGGAGGCTTCTTTCGATAAAATTTCTCAGACGCCTCTGAGCAAGTTTTCTCAAAACTTCATGTTTGCAATCACTGCTCACGGCAGCAATTTTCCGATGCTGCGCGCAAATATTCTCTCAATGCACAGACACACATCTTGATAAAAATCCAGAGAGAGCAGATCAAATGGAGCGAGCTGCATAAATACCCGTAACGCTAGAATTTTCTCCGAAACAACAGAACGTCGGCTCATTGACCGGCCTCGAAAAATGGAGCTGCTGAGGATGTTGCTGATGCTGATGCTGATGCAAGGCATGGTTATTTTCTGCTCATCGAGAAGCATCGAATCGGAGCCGATGCCTGACGAGTCCGCGGCAGACGCCAGCGATTATGACAATTTCCAGCAAGTGCCGCTTTGTTTTGAAATCGTGCAAAACAACTAGCCTCGCTCGAGGTCGGTGACCCACTGACATTGGGGAGGAGTGACCTAGTGCCTCGCGTTTTGAATCAGGAGCGTGCGGCGAGAAAGACCTTGTTATCTGCTGAATTTTTCGACGGTTTTCCCGGTTAGAGATGCTTACTACTCGTGTAATCGTTTTTCAGTTTGTTATTATTGATATTATTTCAGTTTGTCAATAAATATATATCATTTTAGAATGGCATTTAATGGCATTTAATTTCTTTCTTCAGGAACTCTGCTTTTAGAATGGACTTGAAGCAGGAATATTTAAGGAACCTTTTTTTTTTTTTTTTAATGGGTCAATTGAGGGGCTTGGCAGACAAGACCTATAAGCGCAATTTTTGAAAAATGAGTTATTAATGACTACAAGTAAAACAAGTTTTAATGCATTTTGTGTGAAAAATTCGCTCCCGAATTCAAATTTTTAAGAGTCGAAAAGTCGGTTTGAACTTTCTTTCCACCATATGGATCCAAGTAATTTCGAAACTTCAAACTCGTATTTCTCAAAATAGCAAAAACTGCACTTATGCGCCTTGTCCTCCAAGCCCCTCAATAATGCTGGTCGCATAATTGTGTTTTGAGGCGGTTTAAGTTTGTAGATCAGCAAATACTACTAAGATCAATTAAAAGCAAACTATCACATCCATCTAAGTAGTGCATACCATGATTTTCCTCGATTTCACCAATCAGTGATACCCACAAATACACTGATTGCTGGACGTAAAACGCGCATGAAACTGAGGTGGAGGAAACCATAGGCACGTATACCACCGCATTTAATGATGTTATACACCGTGCGTTTTTCGATGAGCGGAATTTTCGGAATTTTGCGTTTCCGCAGATCTTAATAATTTTTGCTAACTTGTAAACTTATACCATCAAAACGAGATTCACTTGCGATTAAACCATATAAACCCATCATTTGATGAAGCTTGGAACTAAGCAGTTCTCGCACGGAGCTCAGGGCTCATTAGCAGTGATGCCAGGCGTACGGATTTATCCGTGCCGCGCGGACATTCCCTATACCGACACGGACCGCGTACGGACAAAAACCTTATGGGAAAAACGCTTCCCTATATTAAAATATCCGTACGCGTGACGTCACAGAATGACGCTCAGCCAATAGCAGCACGGAGAGCGGTAGAGCGTACGGATCTCGCACACGGAGCACCCGGGAACACTGCTCATTAGGTTATGGACTTAAAGGGCCATATGAATTACGGACGGATTATGGACTGGTTTATGGCTTGGATTATGGACTATTGGGCTTGGATCTTGTTAGTCATAGACGTGTTAGATTTTAAATAACATCGAACAACTCGCGAATGCAGAGTTTTTAATTTCACTTTGGCTCGACACCGATGATTAACTAGGCTATATTGACTACGTGAGGAGGGATCAATTACATATTCTGGCTCTCTTTAAATATCAGCGATCTGCTTAGGAAAATTAACGCTGAATGAGTTGTTTCGAGAATATGCCGATGGGGTTAATACCTATTTTGGGTGTAACTGTGTTATGAGATCGTTGTATGACAGAGGCTTGACGTTACTCTGAAACAACTCCTGATGAAAGGGCGCCACGGTACTACGCGACAGACGTCCTGTACTCAGTAATGAGCTATTGTGGCTCATTGCAAGAGAGTACGAAAAAGTTAATCGACATTATGCGTGAAAAAAGGATTTTATTTGTTCAAAATTAAAAAATTGCAATAGAATCAGAGTAGTCAAGACTCGTCAACACGAGAGCAACCTGCTCCTCATAAAATACACTGGGAAAAAAAAGTCGCTTAGATCTAGAGTCCAGACTTTTAAAAACATGAACAAGAAAAAATACTCTAGATTCAATCGGATTTTTGCTTAAATCGAGAACCAAGTCTCTTAGTTCACGCGGATTTCCTTTTGATTCAAGCAAAAAGGAGATTGAATCAAGAGTATTTTTTCTTGTCATTGTTTTCAAGAGTCTGGAACCTAGATCCAAGTTACTTTTTTCCAGTGTACAGAACTAACGTAAACGATTGGATACACGTGAGATTAAATTAAACATAACATCATCAAGTTATAATAATAAAATTCTTATGCTCCGAAAATTCTACGAGGTTTGTTAGAGATTGAAGTTGGTGTTTTCAGAAACGCACAGTTACAAATTCTATGACTAACGGTAATTGCGAGTTTAATCCGTAATGCCTATAATTTCGACTTGAAGCACAGAACTCATGAGACACTCACTAAAAAAAAAGCTCGACTCAAGTATGTTGATTCTTGAATTTGCCACAAAAGAGTTTTTCTTCCTGATTCAAGCTGAATTTCTTTATGAGCAAAACATATGATGAGTTGAGCAATAAAATATCTTAGACTACGCAGCATCATCCTTGATTCAAGGAGAAATATACCTATCTCAGAGGCAAAATTAAGATTTTTTTTCAGTGTACGGAGTCTCGAGTAAAAATTGTAACAACTTGGATAAATGTAACTGTAAAGATAAATATAAATGTAACCTATCAATTTCAATACCATGCTAAAACATTTTGCAACCAACCTAGACGAATAATTGAAGCATGCTTTTCCCAGGCGTGGTCCAGATATTAACAGACGTCCGAGAACTACGAGACAAAGTCTGCAAGAACTGAACTATCGATCAAATCGCTCCAATTTTTAATTTGTCATAGGTCGAGAATTTGATGTAATTAACCGGCGTTCTTACAAATTAACCATTAGGTATTGGAATTTTTACAGCACGGCAGCGACGTCAAGGAGCAAATACTACAATTTGCAAAGGAAGGTGTTGAAAATAAAGGCATTTGACTCGATCCTGTAGAATTATTGCATCCGGGATAGTAACCGACAAAAATTAGAGGCAGTATATTTGTTTGCGTTCCGTCTGTACAGTTGAATGTACCTTTGCTGTCAGTGGCTAAGTTGCAAAATGTTCCGTTCCCAAGAATAATACTACAAGGTGTAGAGCTATTTGAACTATTTTGAGATCCGCCAGTGATCGTGCAATTTACCGGGCAAATACTCGATGAAATACAATCGGTGCTATTTTGGGATCCAACACTGGCTGTGCTATTTCCACAGGAATCAGAGACTACGGTGGTATTTGTAGATCCACCACTGACTGTGTCATTTCCAGAGGAATCAGACGTTACGATGGGATTGGTGGTAAATGTAGATCCATCACTGACTGTCCCACTTCTAGAGGAATCAGACGGCACAGTGGGATTGGTGCTGTTTATAGATCCATCACTGGTTGTGTCATTTCCAGAGGAATCAGACGGCACGGTGGGATTGGTGCTATTTATAGATCCATCACTGGCTGTACTTTTTCCCGGAGAATCTGAGGCTGCAGTACTATTTGTGGTGCTTGTAGATCCATCACTGGCTGTATCATTTCCCAGAGAATCAGAGGCCGCTGTGATATTTGTGGTGTTTGTAGATCCATTACTGGCTGTGCATTTTACCACGCAAGTACATGATAAAGGGCGATTGGTGCTGTTTTCAGCTCTGTCATTTGCTGTACATTTCCCAGAGGAATCAGATGACATGCTGCACTTGGTATTATTTGATGATCCACTACTGTTTGTAGAATATTCTACGCATGTACAGACTAAGTTGCAATCAGTGCTGTTCTGAGAATCACTATCATTTGCATACTTTACTGGGCAAGTACACGATGCAGTACAATTTGTGCTATTTTGAGAACCGTCACTGTCTGTGCAATCCACTGGACAAGAACAAGATGCAGTGCAGACGGTGCTATATTGAGATCCATCACTGGTTGTGCTATTTCCGGGAGTATCAGGGCCCGCGGTGGTATTTGTACTGTCCGTAGTTTCATCACTGGTTGTGCTATTTCCGGGAGTATCAGAAGCCGCGGTGGTATTTGTGCTGTCCGTAGGTTCATCACTGGTTGTGCTATTTCTGGGAATATCAGGGGCCGCGGTGGTATTTGTGCTGTCTGTAGTTTCATCACTGGTTGTGCTATTGCCGGGAGTATCAGAAGCCGCGGTGGTATTTGTGCTGTCCGTAGTTTCATCACTGGCTGTGCTATTACCGGGAGTATCAGAAGCCGCGGTGGTATTTGTGCTGTCCGTTGGTTTAACACTGGTTGTGCTATTTCCGGGAGTATCAGAAGCCGCGGTGGTATTTGTGCTGTCCGTAGGTTCATCACTGGTTGTGCTATTTCCGGAAATATCAGGGGCCGCGGTGGTATTTGTGCTGTCCAAAGTTTCATCACTGGTTGTGCTATTTCCGGGAGTATCAGGGTCCGCGGTGGTATTTGTGCTGTCCGTAGGTTCATCACTGGTTGTGCTGTTTCCGGGAGTATCAGGGGCCGCGGTGGTATTTGTGCTGTCCGTAGGTTCATCACTGGTTGTGCTATTTCCGGGAGTATCAGGGGCCGCGGTGGTATTTGTGCTGTCCATCGTTTCATCACTGGTTGTGCTATTTCCGGGAGTATCAGAAGCCGCGGTGGTATTTGTGCAGTCCGTAGGTTTATCACTGGTTGTGCTATTTCCGGGAGTATCAGGGCCCGCGGTGGTATTTGTGCTGTCCGTAGGTTCATCACTGGCTGTGCTATTTCCGGGAGTATCAGAAGCCGCGGTGGTATTTGTGCTGTCCATAGTTTCATCACTGGTTGTGCTATTTCCGGGAGTATCAGGGCCCGCGGTGGTATTTGTACTGTCCGTAGTTTCATCACTGGTTGTGCTATTTCCGGGAGTATCAGAAGCCGCGGTGGTATTTGTGCTGTCCGTAGGTTTATCACTGGTTGTGCTATTTCCGGGAGTATCAGGGCCCGCGGTGGTATTTGTGCTGTCCATAGTTTCATCACTGGTTGTGCTGTTTCCGGGAGTATCAGGGGCCGCGGTGGTATTCGTGCTGTCCGTAGTTTCATCACTGGTTGTGCTATTTCCAGCAGCATCAGTTAATACGGTGCAGTTGGTACTATTTTGAGATATGTCAGTGTTTGTCGAATTCACCGGGCAAACGCACAACATGGTGCAGCCAGTGATATTTTGGGATCCACTGCAGGTTGTACAATTTCCAGTGGAGTCAGTTGTTGTATTTAGGGATCCCACTGTATCAAAGGATTCCGTGCTGTTGGGAGATGACATGGTGTCGCTTTCTGGTAGGCATTTCAGCCCTTCAATATCCCCATGAAACTGGAAGTTGTCGCTGGTTGTGTTAATGAATAAATAAACTGGAGCGTTTGCTATCATCGAAAAATGTCCGTTACCGCAGGGGTCCCACACCGTCGGTTTGTCCAAGTATCTGGTATGCACAGTTTGGAATGTGAAGATTGAAAAAAATAAAACTAGCTTTTGAGCTAGACACATCTTAATTGTGAATTTACCTTCCTGATTATATAATGTAAACCCATATGTTTCATTTGTCTCAAAATATTCGAGTATTAATGGCTACTTTCTTTTACCATAAATAAGGTAACAATTTGTACCGCAGAAATGCTCAGCCGGTGGATCCGTAAAACTAATGCTAGATGATTAATCCAGCATTCCTCAACCTGAGTTGAGGAGAGATTCCAGTGAGGAAGTTACGAGAGAAATATAGAAAGTTTAACTAGTTTGGCAGACCTAAAAACTCTCTATTTAAAGAGTCAAAGAAAATACGGACGATCCATTGAGTGTAAAGCGTACTATTCTGCGAATGAAATCATGATGACAGTGCTAATTTGCTTGTAAATCACGAAGGAAAAGCCGAGAAGCAACTTATGATAGCGAGCAGTCATCTACCTGGTAGGATCGTATCTGCCAATGTTGAAATACCTGGTAGGAGTTAGCGTGTGTTTTTTTCCTCCTACACACCTGCTTTATGTTAAATTGATAACAAAATGCACTTAATTTGCAGCTAATGAGAGACAGTGAAATTGTATAGATCGTCGACCTCGATTTTCTATCTACAACCAAAAATATAAGTGAAACCAAATAATGATTAGAAAATAATAAAAAATCTACATTCAACGATATAAGTTAAACTAACTCACTCAACGATTTACCACTAACTTCATACTAGACTACTAACTTCATCAAGATATCCTCGAGTGCGTATGTAAAAGGGATCAAAAGTAGTCAATTAACAAATTGGCAGAATTTAAATGAGACAGTTGCTCATAGACTGTGCATAATGGAACCATGAGAAAATTTACTTATCATCAGGGACAGAATGCATTTGAGATTGTAATCGGTTTCCTGGAGGCTTCAAGTTATTTTCTTCGTAAATACTCCCATTGTATAACTTTTGAGGATCAGTGCATGTATGAAAAAATGTGCTTATTGATGATTGATGATGACGGATCGTAGAATCCGTTTGACAAACAAGACCTAGTTTTGCAAACGATTTTGGAAAACGTTAGTGATAAACAAAAATCATAGGGCATAATTTTAGCACAAAAGAAAGTCGCCTTACATAAGAAAATTTCAAATCTCCAAAAGTAAATTTTGTTTCCTGTTTTTTAAAACATTTTAGATATAGCCAGGGCGCACTTTTTCTACTTTTTAGAGTTTTGATATAGCTAGTGCAAGGCCTCTAAGGTATTTGGCCCTACCTCATCACGTATCACGATACAGGTCACTCATGCCAAGCACGTAAGTCGGTATGAGAACTTAATGATTCTGTGACTTTTTGATACAGTAGTTTAGTTTAACAAAAATGACATTACTCCTTCTGTAGCACAGTATTTTCGAAATTTTCAAGAAAATTTGCTCCCTGAGAAAATTATTTCATCGTTGAGTACGCTTACTCTTCTTAATGAGTGACCTTTTACTCTGGTGACCATTTTTGCTAAGTACACTCTATTGTTTAATGAGACGGAAATTAAAGGAGGAAAATCGACGAAAACTATAAACGTTAGTTATCTGCTTGTAAGTTAAATTTTCTATGAGCCTAAAATCTTTTACGTTGAATTCTGATGTAAAAAACACGCGCTGTGATGCTTCGTCTCTTTCCTTGTCTGGTGGCCCGTCACCTTAATTTCATATTTCCAGCTTAAAAGTTGGTTCTTGTATCAGTGGCGTATTTGCGGGGAGGAGGAGCCAGGGGGTCCGGATCCCCCCCAGAGCCCCCCCCTCCCCAAAAAAAAACAGAAGAGAAAAAAAACAAGAGATTGTAAGGGAGAGGAAGAAAAATCGGGTGGAGAGAGAACACGATGGTATTTTCGTCCAGAAAAACGAGTGAAAGGATTCGAAATCGGACGAAAGATTCTCGAGCGTCGCCTCAAAAGCCTCATTTTGTCTTCGGGAAGTTAGTGGATTTTTTCCATCTCATAATTAAAACAAAACGCCCCATTCGGTTTTGTATAAGCGGTTCTCCATTTTATTAAGGTCTTTTTGGGGAAAAATAGCGGAGATCTTTTCACTATTCATGCCAGAAATTGTTAAAAAGTGGAGTTCTACGGGGTTTAAATCCTGAAAATTATCCGAGAGTGGCCCCCGGACCCCACCTCAGATTCTTATCCTGCATACGCCACTGTTTTGTATACCTACCTATTTGCGGTGTATTTTACTCTTTCCCGATTGATAAGTCGCTGAAAAAAAAATTGATGAAATTTTTAAATCGCCCGGTTATTTTTCTTTTATTTCATTAATTTATTCAAATTTCCGCAAATCGGAAAAAAAGTCGTTAAACGATCGTTGGAAGGCTGCTCGTTATTGGCGCGTGAGATTTTTCTATGTATATGCTCTCTTCAACATAAAACGAGTGTTCCTCTAAACTGTTCACACACTTTTCCTCGCCTTTAAAATAAAGACACGCAAACCCCTCCAATGAAATAGAAATACAATCAAGCCATTTAAGTTGGTAAGTATAAAATGCCCTCGTGACGACTCAACATCAGTGTCAGCGCCTGAATGCAACTATTTGTGTTCAGGGACTGTCTGCGTTGCATCAGAAAAAATTGAAGGCGGTATAGCTTCGCTCGCGCGCGCACCTATTAGATAAGTGCTTGACGCTACAGCAAGGCAATAGACTTCTCACAACGCGTTTCCTGCCATGAAACACATTCGACGGTGAAATTGCATAAGTGCGTATCTCGGAAAGCACGATTTTCAGGAGAGTAAAAAAAATGTCTATATTCCTTCTTGTCAGGAGAAGGGTGATTCTCGAGGGTAGCTAGAATAAGTTGCTTTTTCAGACTCCATCAGCATTTTTAATAATTTCTCGAACTGTTAGAAAATACGGTAGAAATGCCGAGATTCGCGTTTTCGGCACTAAGAATTGACACTTTATCACAAGATACGCATTTTTGCAATTGGTGTTAGAGACTAAAAAAGAGTTTCACGCTTACAATTCCCCACCAGAAGCTTTAGTTTGATCTCATACGGCCGGATCAAGCATTGTATGATTGGAAAATGATATTTGATCACGAGATACGCATTTCTGCGATCAAAAATATCAAAAAATAGAGTTTATTCATACTTGAAACTTGTTTAGAAGCTTTAGTTGATCCTACAATACGGTAGATGAAGCATTGTATGACTCGATTGACTCTAATACAACTGACTGTTGTGATGAGCTGTCAGTTCATGATTGCATTGACCCAGATAGTGAATGACGGACATGAACGCCGCGCGCCGCTAGTAATAGGTACCTATGAAGAAATGATACGAGAGGGCCCTCGAGTGAAATGCATTTAGCAACTTTTCAAACCCAGCAAATTCCTGAAAATGAATAAAATCACAGAAGAGCTGATCAGCTGATATATGCTGTTGGTGGGAAACGCTGCGCTGAGAAGCGCGCGTTGTGCGTATGGCGCGCCAGATCAAATGAAGGGACCAGAACGAGATACGCATTTCTGCACTTAAGCCCGAGATACGCATTTCTGCACTTAAGCCCGAGATACGCGAAAAAAGTTCTACGGTTTTAGGTGACTTCCTGATTTTTTTCGATTATAATCTCGTATTGCTGGCAGATAAACAACATCTTTAACAACACGTCTATGGAGCTAACTCAAAACTCGAAAAACGAGATACGCACTTCTTCACTTTCACCATCGTCATACTTACCACAGTACAGTTTTGAGTTCCATAAAACGATCACCGCACTTCAAATGATACACAAAAGAGGAGTGTAATGAAATCTAATTGATAGTTTGCAGATATCATGACCCCCTGCACAGAAGAGGAAGAAGCCTCATAAATTATTAATCTCACCTATAGTCGGTTTGCCTGCGTTCTGGATTAATAAATTTAGTAGTTTTATACAGGGCCGGACTTACCTACTTGCCGCCCATGGGCCGCCTGTATTTTTCCGCCCCCTTCTCATTCGTTTTGAAACATCAATAGATCGTACTCGACAGTGGTTCGATGTATCGTTTGGTTCAAAAGAATAGAACATAACCTCAAACAAAAATTTTAGGATTGAATTCGGAAAAGCTGAAAATTATAAAATTCCTAACAATTTCACTTTTCATTGTCATTTAGTACTCGAGAGAATAAAAATTCGATCACATAACACCCGTCACCTCAGATTTCTAAATTGAATTTTAAGGCTGTGGTTACATATTGAACCAATCGATATCAATATAATCTCACCTGTGTGATCTGTCGAATACGATCTTTAAAAACCATCAAGTGAACGTGCCGGTGGAGGAGGGGTGTATGAGACGCGTTTACTCGTGTTGCGCACATTTTGTGTGAAACCCCTGTCAACAGCAACAAAAGTTCAGTTCCAAAAATCCATCCCTGCTTAAACAAGGCCTTCCATTTATAAAAAACGAACGAAAAAATTATGAAAGAACAAACATAAATGTGGTTAATAATTGTAACTTCCGCCGCTGCCCGACCGCACTGTGTTGGCGCAATGCGTGAAGTATTCATGCAGTCTTGTAGGCGCTATGCGTTTCATGCCGGTCAAATGTCGTGTTTGGTTTCTCTCTTAACTCGACTAATTAAAGGTGTTGTCTCTTGTATCACCGAAAGACGACAAAATTAGAAGTTACTATACTTTTACTCTCAGGAAATGAGAGATTCTGTCGCTTCCTCTCGTTTGTAATTTATTTTCTGAATCCGATTTTTTTGTCTCTTTTTTTTGATACCTACATTCAAAAAGATTGCAAAATTTTCCGCCCTGTACATTTTGCCGCTATGGGCCGCGGCCCATGTGGCCGCCCCCTTAATCCGGCCCTGGTTTTATTATCAGTTTTTTATTTATTTTAAAGTATTATAAATGTACGATTTCTGCACGATGAATAGAGCCATATATTCCATAAAATTGAGTATTCTTTTTATTAACTGTCCTTAGATATATTTTCCCTCTCCAGTTCTTGAATTAATCTAATTTTAGATTAAATTGCTCTCTCACGTCTTTATTTTTATATACTCGTGAAATGTATGGTTTGGTATCTTTGCACTTTAGACTAAATTAATTAGATCAAATTATCATATCAGTGCCTCAGAGCCAAAAGGCACCTGACTCACATTTTTGGAAAAATCGAATTAGTGGCGTTTTCGAAATCTCCATTAAGGGTTCCGTGAGTGTGTGGAAAATTTGGTAGCCCTCGGCTATCTTACGCCGGTTATGAGATATGGAGATTCAAAAATTGCG